AGTGAGAGTTGGAGTGTGAGTGTGAGTGTGAGTGCGAGTGTGAGTGCGAGTGCGAGTGCGAGTGTGAGTGTGAGTGTGAGTGTGAGTGAGAGTGAGAGTGGGAGTGAGAGTGAGAGGGAGAGGGGCAGTGAGAGTGAGAGTGAGAGTGAGTGAGTGGGTGAGTGAGTGAGTGAGTGAGTGGGTGAGCGAGTGAGTGAGCGAGCGAGTAAGTGAGTGAGAGAGTGAGTGAGTGAACGGAGGGCGGCGGAGGGCGCGGGCGCGCAGGCAAACAAACAAACCCATCACCAAAACAAGCAAACAAACAAGTAAGAAAGCAAGCACACAAGCAAAGTAACAAAAAACAAACAAACGAGCAAAGCAAAGCAAAGCATACACCAACGACCACGTAATCATACGACCATACAAGCTGGCAAACAAACAAACAAACAAACAAACAAACCAAAATTCAAACACAAATGCAACCATACAACCGCACAAATCAACCAAACAAACACACGAAAACACACACACACACACACACTTATCTCGAGAGGCTTCACTAGCCGAGATGAAAACCGCAGTCAGTAAAAGTGCTTGAATGCAAATGCAAATCGACAGGTCACAACATCGACACCGAACAGGAAGCAACAGCAACAGGCAGAAACCGCAAAAGGGATCAGGAAAGAGGTTCAAGAAATAGGCAGGTACGTCGGATTGATCAGATCCGATATCCCATGACTGAGGTAGCTTCGTTGAGTGCGGTCCCTCAGTCATGCCGCGCTCCCCTGCTCAGGAAAAATTTCCAAAGGTTTTAACGTCCAGGCTCCAGGACGGTTCACACACACACAAAGCCCCGGTGGGGCGGACACGAACCACACAGAGGGAATTCCACCAGGGGACCGCCAAAAACCCCGCGGCAACAGTAAAAGAATTTCAAGGACGAAAAACCGGGCGCACAAAAACCACACAGAGGGAATTCCACCAGACGAAAAAACGAAAAAACCCAAGCACACAAAACCAAACCGAGGGAATTCCACCAGGGGACCGACAAAAAACCCCGCGGCAACGGAAAAAGGTTTCGCAAGAAACGAAAATGGCAGTCAAGGCGTGAGCACTGATCTGAGTCGGCGCAGAGCGTGAACCAATGAACGGCAAAGTCGGTGTCTGACCGGCTTGTCACTCGCGCATGAAGCTGCCGAATCCTGATACCTCATGAGAGCTGCCTTGTTCAAAACGCAGGCAGTGCAATGCGAATGAAGCTGCCGGAACCTGATACCTCGTGAGTGCTGCCTTGTTCAAAAGGCAGGCAGTGCAATGCGAGGTTGAACTGAACGTGAACTTTTGAACGTCATCCCCTTGCAGGGGGCTCCCGCATATGGCGAGTCCAGCCCACAGAGCCATGTCGGACAGGCCGTGGGTAAACACACTTATCTCGAGAGGCTTCACTAGCCGAGATGAAAAGGTTGGAAAAACCTGCAACTGCTGAAATTGCTTGACAGATCACACTGCAGAACAGAAACCGGGAAGCAACAGCGAACAGGACAGAAAAACAGTCAGGAAAAAGAAGGAAAGGCAGGTACATCCAGCTGGCCAAGCTGGATATCCCACTTCACTGGTAGCTTCGTTGGACACAGTCCCAGTGAAGTGCTGTGTCCCCCTGCTCACGTTTAACGTCCGTGTTCCAGGACGGTTCACACACACACGCACGCACGCACGCACGCACGCACGCACGCACGCACGCACGCACGCACGCACGCACGCACGCGCACGCACACACACACACACACGCACGCACGCACACACGCACACACGCGCACACGCACACAAGCACACACGCACACACGCACACGCACACGCATACATGCACAAGCAGGTAAACACACAACCACACAAACACACAAACACACACACACACAAACACGCAAACACACAAACACACAAACACACAAACACACAAACACACACACACACACACAAACACACACACACACACACACACACACACACACAACACACACACACACACACACACACACACACACACACACACACACACACACACACAACACACACACACACACACACACACACACACACACACACACACACACACACACACACACACACACACACACACACACACACACACACACACACACACACACACACACACACACACACACACACACACACACACACACACACACACACACACACACACACACACACACACACACACACACACACACACACACACACACACACACACACACACACACACACACACACACACACACACACACACACACACACACACACACCCGCGCGCGCACACACACACACACACCCGCGCGCGCACGCACGCACACACAAACGCGCGCGCAAACACACAAACACAAACGCCAGACACACAGACACACACACACACAAACAAACAAACAAACAAACAAAAAAGAAACAACAACACACACAAGCACACAAACACGCAGACATACGTATACACCAACAGGCTTGTTTGGGCTCGCTCGACGTCGCTCGCTTAACGTCAGCCAGATGTTGGGCGGCGAATATTGCAGCGCATTTGGCACCCAGCAATAGGGCGCCAACGAGGCTCATGGTCATTTCATTAAATTGCCGACGCTCCCAGCCGCCAACACGCCCGCATGCCCGCCCGCCCGCCCGCTTGCCAGCGCGCCCGCCGGCCCACCCGTGTGTTCACCAGCCCGAATGCATGCAAGAGTGTTTGCTTCCCTCATTTGCACTCACGTATCAAACCCCGCGAAGCCTTCCGCGAAGCTTCCGCGATGTGAAGGATACCTTCCGCGAGCAGGTTTTTTGATTTTATACAAGTGCTTTCGCGGGCCTTCCGCAGGCAAGTTGCTTCTGGAAACTGAGGAAGGTAGCTTCCGCGAGGGAGTTCGTGTGCATGGTTTGCTGGTAAACGTGCTTGGCAATAACCACCCAAACGAAACCAACTCTACTATGGGCAAACCAACAATGTCCCTTCCGCGAGCTTCCGCGGGAAAAATAACTTCTGCAAACCTTCCGCGGCTGCAGTGCGGTTCTACCTTCTTTGTTGATATGTCGACATCTATATATGCATGGTTGCTTAAGCGGAAAAAGAAAGCCACGCAAGTGAGCACAACCATACAGACACACACACACATGCGCAATGCACACATTCGCTTCTCTGAGTGCCAGGCCCACTGAGCAGGGGCAATTGGGATCTCCGGGATCACTCTGCTGGCACAAGACCTCCAAGCGACAGCAGAACAAGCAGTCTGCCAGCCCCCCCCCCCCCAATTTCCTCAAAGGAAAGCTAGACGCCTGTAGCACGCCCTGCACTGTCCTCAGACTGTTGCAACACTTCAAACAGCAAGTCGAGGTTTTGTCTCAACAAGTTGTCATCCAGGTGCTAAGAGACATGGCAACAAAGCAGGACGGTATCGTCATTTTGCACCCCGAGAGTCAAGGTGTAAACGGGCGTTTCTCGTGCGTACGATTCAGCTTGCTACCTTAGTCTGCGTCCATTTCTTAAATTGGCATCTATCATTTGTCAGAAGTGGGTGCGGTTGGAGAAGGTGCGATTGGGTGTAGTCGAGAGCCAGCCCGTGGTATTGCGTTAGCTTACATCGTTTGCAGGCACAAGGCAAAGTCGTGAGCGGCAGCACAAGGGCAAACTGTGCGAATATCGCCCTCGCCGCGTTGCAGGCTGGCGGGTGCTTGCAGAAACAAATCTAATGCTTGAAACCTTGAAAGCTGTAGCCAATGCTGAATGCTCATGGCGGCACCACAACACGGCAAGAAAGTGTCCAAGCTCCGCATAGAGATCAGCCAGGCCTGATTGGCCAGCGCCAGCACAACTAGCGCCTCACATGGCCACGCTGTTGGAAAAGGGTTCCCGAAGCTGGAGCCAACTGGGTGTCTCTATTTTCCTATTCTTAGGGGAAGCCGCAAACTTGTGATGTCATCTTTTAGCTTTCCTTTAAAACCACCCAAAAAGAGGTACCCCCAACACACGACACAGCCATTTGAGACCCCTTCGTTCGCCATAGCCCCCCAAAGTGACGGCCTGGATGCAGCGCATCGTGTTCGGCCCACCTCACTGTGTGCGGCATAAACCCTTTGGGCCAAGATTGCCCCGTTACGAAGCCCTCGGGATCAGGGAAGCATTCGCTTTGCTCGTTGAGTTGGTGGTCATTGCCCCGTTCCCTGCCTTGGTGGTCAATGGATTTGGCCGCCAATGCTGGCTTCCCCTGACTACCTGACTGAATCGATAGTGGTGACCGCAACCACTGAGTGCCTGGGGCAAACCACCTCTTTGCATGTTGCCAACGAGTGCCATCAGCATACCAAGCAAATAGCCGAGCGACGCGCGGTCAGCTCAGCTCCCAGCAACTGTGCGCGCTCTGTCCCACGCGCAGAGAGCGCGCGTTGCCCAGCGCTCCCGCAGCGCTTGCGAGCCAAAGATCCATTTTCGTCAAGCATCATACTTTCGTTTCTATGCTCCTCGCGGCTGCCTGAAACAAAACCAATTTGACAATTCCAAGCAAACAGACGCAAACCAGCAACTCTAAGCATGGGTGTTCGTCTCAAGTCTCTGTTTCATGCCCAGATCTGATTCCGGTGTCGTGCAAGGAACAGGACTGTCTGCTCGGGACATCTCAAAGGAGGGGGTTTATTAAAAGTCAGTTGGATTTGTTGAGCTTTGGGAAGGCACATGGCTTTGGGATTGTTTGAAATGCTATGTCTGGGGTTCAAGATGTAGCAGCACGTGTGAGATGTGCTACATTAGCCGGGCTGCTGGCCTCTGTCCCGTCCACTATCGCTGTATCAGCGCTTGTGCTCAGTGCAAGCAAGATGTTGCGCTGTCAAATTCTAAGTTCATACAATATAGTTATATATATATGTATACATACACACTCGCCTTCACAAAGATACATTTACGCACTCCCCATCAAAGGGTCCAATCCCTACCAACCTCAACTAAGCGTCAACCAAGCCCTGCTCTCAGCACATTTACAATTCCACCAATCTCTCAGCCGTTAACACGCCATCCATATTCCGGATGGCTTAGAGTGAAACGTAGCGAATTCGCTCACAGGAGCAATCCCAGGATCGCCACAGCCACAACCTCGGACGGCATGCGGCGCTCTTTTGCAGCTTGGCACAAGAAGGTAGTCCTGGAATTCTCAAATGGCTCCCAAAATTGGTGGACTGCAAAGCGTCAAGGACATCAAGGGAGGCACCTTCTTACCAAACATCAATTGCCCCCAAGGTTCTTGCCCCTTCCAAGGCTGCACCGTTTTGTACCCAAAGCAGAGGTCTCTGATAAGCACACCGCTGATGCGTTCTTTTTTCTCAACCCAGCTATGACGTTGTCGACGGCCGATGCAGACCAGCGTCAAATCCGCTTCTCGTGGCGAAGTCACAGTCCACATCGCATTCCAAGACATCGGCCTGCGGTTTCGACCATGGATCAAACGGCCAAGCATGCCGGTGCCTGGAAAAACAGTATGGGAAGATCATGGGATGCAAATGGGGTCTCAACATAAGGGAACCTACAAGAGTGGGATTCGGATCCCTTTTCGTGTCCCTTTGACACACACCCAAAACGGCTAGAAAAAAGGACACACCCAAAGGGAGTTACACTGGTCAAGCCATTTGATCCATAGGCAACCAGGGTCTCGAGCCCGTTCGCCAGACGCGGGATTCCCACCTTATCATGTGTGGGTACTTGAAGCGGACCTTCATTTTCACCCATAACCACACACTGTCACAAACACACATGCACTATCACACACTTGAATCCTATCAATCACACACACACACACACCCGCGCGCGCGCGCGCGCCCGCGCGTTCATGGGCCCCTGCCTGGGTGTCGCTCCCTTCTACGCCGATAACGCCTGAGTCCTGGCCAATTGGGAGGCCGGCTACGTCGCAAGTCGGGCCCTTTAGCATCGCTCGAAGTTACGCAATCACGGGCGCGCTCAAGGAATTTGCTGTACTGTTCGCTGCAAGCTTCAATATCACCGAGTGCTAGGTTCAAACAAAGACCCCACAGAAACACTCAACATCAACAAGCAATGAAAGCACTCCCAATGGTGGATGAAGGATAGTCGACGGTCTGATATTTTCGGATTCTCAAGCCTCAATGCCTCAAGCCTAGGCACAGGAACCCCGCAGTTTTGACGCAGCCGAAAATGGTCATTTCGAGTCATTTCCAAGGCACACCTTGTTCTGCCCCGACCCAACTTTGGGAACCCCATAAGCGTAGAGTGGTAGACCTTTCCAGTTGGGCCCCAGCATGGCCCCTGTTCAAGCAAAGCGGTCCTTGGCCGTGGTGAGATCCCTGGAATGGCAGCGGCTCGAAATGCGCGCCATGTGTGTGTGTGTGTCACAAAAAGGGGGCCCTGTGCTTTTCGTTTCGGTTTCCCTTCAAAACCTGCGAAACAGAAGTACCATGACAACATACACGCCCACCTTCTATGGGGAAACCCACATGCCTCCCTGAGAAAGCACAACATGTAGATTGACAGCCTCCATTCAACCGCGGTGACCTTCCCTCGGCTCTCGGCAGGACTGGCAAATGCGACAGCAAGTAGTCAATGATAACGTCGGATTCATCTGTCGGATCGTCCCAATCAGGGGCGGTGCCCCTGTGCTACTGAAAGGGGGGTCCTCTGACTAGGGTCCTCCAGATTGATACGCAGGTCACGTTAGTGCTGCTGGTCAACCAGTCCACATCGAAACACAAATTGGCACCTTCAACCGATTTGCGACAGCTGGGAGACACTAGCGAAATAAAGCGCGTGCGTACGCCCGACACCCCGATTTGACCTTTGAACACGTCGAAGCCATTTGACATCCTCACTTAGGGTCCTTGGCTCTCTCAAGCCTGCCTCAAATCCCCTGCCCGTGCCTGCATATCCTGCCCACAACTACAGCACAATCATCGGACCATAGCCTCAGCTCCCACTGCAACGACTCCTGAATCCCGAGTTTAGAACTTAGGATGCCTTTTCCAGAAAAAAGGTCAGGTCAGCATGGCTCTCCAAAGCAAAAACCAAAACATAAGAATCACAGGCTTTGGCAGCTTCGCGTCGAGCCCCCGGCTTCGCACAGAACATCTGGCGGGATCGGGCAAGAGGCAATCTTCGATGGCAACTTCCCAAAGCGTGGTTTACCGGCCCTTTGAGGGAAATTAGACGATGGGGTTCTGCATTTCGGGTGAACTCGATCTTTCCAGAGGCCAAAACCTCGAAAATCACCAGGGTTTGCTGGAGCTAATCCTTGATATGATTCTAGGTTCGAAGCAGAGAGTTCATGACTCATTGATCACGGCTCCACCGGCCCAAAACAAATCCCCCTGTAAATAATGTCCTACCAAAGTGGCCCCCAATAGAATTCATGCAACGGTGCCTCGCATTTGATCTGCTCGCACGGCGTGAGCTTCTTGCCTCTGGAAGGTTCCTCTGCCTCAGACATGCCATGTCAGGCTGCTGAGGTCAGAGGTGGAACAGAACGGAATCCGTTCGAAGACTGTCTGGGGGTCGATCCGCTTCTTGGTTCGAGGCGGTTCGGCTTCAAAAACTCCGGACCGAAGGGGCCAAACGATGATTGGACTAGGGGGGATAGGCCCACACCATCTTAAAGGACCAGCCTTGCAGCTCCTGATGCATCTCTGCACAAACTCCTGGCATGCAGGGTATGCTCAAAATCATCCAAGACCCAAATCTAGTGACCCCCAGTCACAGGTCTTGGAAACAAGAAGCGCAGCCCGCATGGGTCTCACCTCATTGGGTTGCTCTCCTTTCGGCTTCCCTCAAGCCAACCAAACAACACATCTGTCCTCGTTGCATACGTGGGAGTAGTCCTCCACGCAGCGATCTCGCCGGAAACTGGCCTGCGCTTGAAGTAGCTGGGTCGTCAGTGATTCTCAGAAAGCTCATGGGTCGGTGTGCTACCCGCTTGGGGGTTTGTTGAGGTCCAACTCCTCGCGTGCGCCTGTGAGCTGTGGCTTGAAAGCAAACCCAAAAAGGTAAATGCACGCCGGCGGGCTTCCTTCATTTTTTTAGCCTCATCAACTGGCGCATTTTGTTACCAAAGTCACCCCCAACTAACTCAAAAACAGAAAAACTGGATCCCTGACTTTGATACCCCCTAGACATGGCCCAAACCATCACCCCTCCAATTAAACAAACAACAAGTACTCAATGAACTATGGGATGGTTTAGGGCTCCTTTGGCCTTGCTAGGCTGGGGCTGGTCTTTCAAACCCTCCAGCCAACCCAAAAAACAATGGCCAACCCCCCCAAAAAAAAGGCCAACCAACAAGAAACGCCAGCCCAAAAAACAATGGCCAACCCAAAAAAAATGGCCAACCAACAAAAAACACCAGCCCAAGCCTGAAACCCAAACCCAGCCGCTCCCACCTCCTCAGCTCGTGTCGAAGGGAACCGACTCGGCGCGTGCCTCCATGCCAGCAGCGCAGCTCTCGCAATCGGCGATGCGTGTGGACCCGGCCCTGGAGACCTGCGTGGATCGGTTTGTTGTTGCCTTCTGCAGGTGGGGTGTTGGGGTTGGGAGGCTCAGAGGGGGGTAGATCTTTTTTTGGGTCTTTTGGGGGTTCCTGCATGCTTGCAATAGGGGGGAAACGCCCAACAGAAAGAAGGTTGCACCGGAGTACTAAACAAAAGGGCGGACCTTGCGAACCACTCCTGCTTTGTCTCTTGACGTGCTGCTATATTTCAAGAAACCATATACCTCCCGGCCTGATATATACCTCCTAGACTCCTAGAATCCCGGACCTCCGGGTTTCGGGGTCAGTTCAAGCTCATGACTGTCGAGCGGCTATGATGTTCGTAGAGAGCTCTCCGAAGCATTGGAGATATGCGGTTTGGCAATTGTTGTCTCAAAGGTTTTACTTTCTCAAGGTTCGGACATTTGCCACATGATTGTTCTGATACCCTCCCGCCAACATGTACGCACCCTTTCTAAAAGTCCTCCAAAAGGTATCTTGATGCATTGATGGAGAGGACTTCTAAGTGCTCAACCATCATCCTTTTGCAAAAGCTGTCGCCTCTGGTTTCGAAGGGGATGTTCCCCTTCGTGGCTCTCTGATTAGGCTGTGTGGTTGTCTAAATTCCATATATCAAAAGATTGGTGCCATCCCACTAAACCAACAGCCCGCCAAAGATTTCGCTGGAGGAAACGCAAAATGATCCTCGGTCGCTGGAATGCTGGAATGCCATGTCCGTCAGATTGGTGTGAATCACAGATCAGGATTTGGGGACATACCGTTAAGCTTTTCTGTGGGGCTTTGATTTGGCAGCTTGCCTCTCCTGACAGTGTTCACTTGCAAGCACGGGCAGTCGCTCCTAGTCAGACCAGTCCAGTCACTTCCAGGTTCACCCTGTGCAAGTGAGTCTGTGTCAAAATAGGGAGACCTCAACAAGCTTTGTCCTTTTGGCTTCCTTTTAAACCAACCTGAAAAACGGTACACTCAAGAAACACACACCCAAGTGGCACATGACATCATAGTCTCGGGATGATAGAGTCCCTTCAACAGCATCGTCAACTTGAGAAGGAATCTCTTGCGAAGGAGTACTGAGGTTTCGCGCTCGAGCCCCCTCGCGAGTCGGCTGCGTATTGTCAGGACACCTGGGCACTGCTTGCGGGGGCAGGCGACCCGGACCACGGCTGGCAAACGATATCAGGACGGCTGACTCCCACAACACATGGCGATCTTCTACCAACAACCAGGAAGACTAGAGCTGGCAACCTAGAAACACCATGGTCGAGGTCAGGGGAATGCCCTGGTTGCCTTCCATCTGTTAGGCTCAAAAAACAAGACATGGACTCCTTTTGCTCCAATCGGAAGTCAATGCCCGAGGCCCAGGCTTCTTGAAAGTGTCGCATCCGTCGCAGTAATCCCCGGGCTCGCACAGAATGCACTCGTAGATCCCGCGCCAGGAAAGCTGGCGTGAACGGAGGCAGTGTTGACCCTTGGAATCAAACATGTGGAGGTTGCACGACCGGAAACTTCAGAGAACATCAAGCACTCCTTGGTGCTTTGAGGGGAGCCACAACCATGCGTAGGTGTCCTTTTGGGCCAAACGAATGGCTGCAATTGCCAATGATTACGAAACAGAAATCAAACTTGACCAAAAATCTAGAACCATCTGTTCTGACCAAATCTGACCAAACAATCCAAGGCCATGAAAAACCATCGGTTTTTGACCCAAATCCACCAGAACACCTCCTGCTTCACACGCCTCAAGATCCTTCTTCAGGCCGTAGCAGGGTGCTTCGTAGCAAGTGGCGCAGCACCTGCCCAGGAAGTCTTTAAATGGATGTGGGCCCGTCTGTTTTTGAGGAAAGAAAGCCAGCCACTTTTAGGGGTTCCCCTATTCTGAGACACACCCATGTGTTTTGTTAGGGGACCCTCCAAAATAGCGCAAAGGGTTTTGGTTTTCCTTTAAAACAACCAAAAAGGCGGTACCGTCAAAAAAAGATGGACCCTCGTGAGTTTTGAACAGGGGGTCCCTTCTAAAGGAAGACTGGACTCCCCAGTCAGGTTCCATGTTAGTGGATGGGAGGGCAAGTCTTAAATGCTTGCAACCTTTCAAAACAGCCACAAGGTCATGACCCTTTTGAATCGGGGTCACTTTGACGGGCAAGAGGTTGGTTGGCCCCCAAACAAATCAAGCTCCCCTTTTGTGGCCATGGAGCTCGGCCCCACTTTCTCCATGCGCGAAGAAGACTTGGTCGATCCCAGCCCTTCACAAGCAGAAGTTCCCATGAAGCTGTGACTCGAGCAATGCAGCAATCACATTGAGGTTTGCCATCTGTAAGCTGTGCTGTTCAAAAGAAAGAGTTGGCCAATCCTAATCCATTATCCCTTTAACAAAAAGACTACAAGGCGGCCAAACCCTTTCGTAAGCCATGGATCTTGCGAATTGCTTTTAAACAGCCCAATTAGCCAAGCGCTTGCCAAAGAGTTTTGCTTCAAAACGCGAGCCGTCGCCTGAAATAGCCCGGTGGGCACACTGGCTCGTAGCAAATGTCTTCACCGTAGATGGGATCCTGCCAAAACCCATGCGCCCACTGACCCGATATGTTCACCGGCAGATCCGCAAGGAGTTATTCGTACAAAGCAAATCAAAGTTGACACAATCAATTGGACATCAATTTAGGATGTTCTTGTTGACATACCCTAATTCCCCAACATGTTTTTTTGGTTTTTGTTTTATCTTAAGAAGAGGAGGTGGCATGCCCTCTCCCGACAAGAGCAGTGCGCCAGAGCCTTTTGGAACACTACTTCCCGTTTGGAAAGGAACCCTGCGCAGTTACATGCTGAGGGAGAGAATCAACACCTGATAAGGTCATAACCCAAGCGCATCAATTTTGATGCCCACAAGCAACGTTTAAGAAAGTTCTCCATAAAACTCATCCTGGCAAAATTCAGTATCCTTTTTTGGGGGGTGACTTTTATGACGGGCCCTCCGTTTTTCAATTCAAGGAATTGCACCACCCTTGCTTGGATGAGCTTGAAGGGAAGCCCGCAGCCAAAATGGAACAAAGCAACCAAATCAACTGAAGATCTAGGTCATGGCCATGCGAGCACAATCCGACCATTTGAATAGGCATGTGGATTCCATTGTAGCAGCACATAAAGCAATCACAAACTATGGAAGTTGGTGGAAAGCTAGCCTGATTGCGAGGCCTGCTCTCCGAGTGTGTTCGAATTGTCTCGTACCCGGGCCCATTGACATGGACGTGCCTTTTGTTTGCAGTACTTTCGAAAAGCAGCTTTGTAAGGTCTGATATATATATATATATTATAAATATGTAGAACATAGACAGGTAGATGGCGAGGTAGACTTGATAGATTAGATAGATAGCTAGATAGTTAGATAGTTGGATAGAGAGATGGGTAGATTAGTAGGAAAGATCGGAAAGCAAGCAAGCAAGCAAGAAAGAAAGAAAGAATTCCGGAAAGGAAAAAACGACGATGACAAACAGCAAGCAGAAAAATAAAGAAGAAATGAAAGAAGAACCAAATAACTATAGTTCTTACACTTCTGAATCCTTCTGAGTCTTCCGCCCTGCCACCGGCTTTGCCGGCTCTACTGGTAGGCATCAGGTCCACCGACATGTTTTGTAACGATGGGTGGGGCAAACTCAGCTCCTGAATCTACCCCAAAATTACCCAAATTACTACCCAGGAATATCCTACCCAATGATACCCTTCCGGAATCTACTACCCAAAATACCACGTCCAGGAGCTCAAGGAGTGAGCAAACACGACCCCATTCGGCCCTTCGCTCGGTCCGGGCACGGGCACGGCTGTGAGTCGGTGGGCCGGGGAGCCGCTGGAACCACTTGGCCTGGAAAACGAACAACCGGCTCTGCGATCGCTTCGCAGGCAGCGCGAGTCCAAACGGCCCCAAATGGGCGTGTTGTGTTCTGTTTGAGGGTTGCCCTTTCAGCTTGGTTTAAAGGGAGACCAACAGGACATCTTGTTTGGGTCCCCTTAGTTTGACAAATACCCGAACAGGTTCCAAAGGGTGCCCTCTACATCTTAGGGGTCCGCTTTTTGGAGACAAAAACGGCCCAGTGAAGCCATAAACTCACGCTGTTATGTTTGAAAGGAAGCAAAAGGAGCCGTCTGCCTTCTTGTTGCGGTCGACTCATCTTTTCTAGCATTTGGGTGCGTCTTGTTTTGAGGGTGTCCTCAAAGGGAAACCAAACGGAGAACCGAATCAATCTTGGGGGGTCCCGGTAACAAAGGACACAGCCATTTGATGCTGTGGTCAAAATGGTATGCAAAGCCCCTTGAAGGCGGCAAGGAATGAAAGGGTCCCTATAACGCGGTCCTCATGTTCGCAAGTGACCGGCAACTTACACACGGCCTGCGCCCAGCCGCAAAGCGAGAAGCCAGCAAGCCTGCTTCATGCCAGCCTCGCAAGCGAGTATCCACCAGCCTTAACCCCATGGTTCTTTGAAGGTCAGATCAAAGGGCTGGCCGTTCCTTTTGAGCCATGCCCCCCACCAAATATTTTGACCGCGGCACATCTCAGCTCAGAAAAGAATGGGTGTCCTGAGCTGGGCCCATTACCTCAGACACATCCGACGAACATCATGCCTTCCATTTGCTTCAGGTGCCAAAGGCCGTATTACCACTCATGGCAATTTCACGTCCGAGCTATTAGGGTGGCGCGCAGGGAGTGGCCCAGCAGCTTGCAGGTGGGGAAGTGGCACAAAGGGTTTGGGGGGGGAGCGGGGGAAGGGGGGGGGAGAGGGGGGGAGGGGGGGGAGGGAGGGGGGGAGGGAGGGAGGGAGGGGGGGGGAGGATTGCTTCTCTTCCAATTGTAAGGTACCTTCAGCAAGTATGAAAGCTGTCAGTGTAAAATACACTTCGTCTGCAGAACCGAGGCCCCGTCGCATAGCGCAAAGCGCCTACTCCATCGCCCAAGCACTGGCCGATTTGAACCAAACATGCGGCGAGGTACAGGCCATATATGACCGGTGCTGAAACCCTGTCGACTTTAAACTTGGCCATCACTATGCCGACTGTTAACCTAGGGGAGTAGTGGTCAACAGACTTTGGGCGCTGCTGTCAAGCTTTGAACTTCCGTGCATCATTCCAGTCAGTAAATGAGAAAATGTTTGTTCGGTCAAAGCTCTCCCAACCTGACTCATACCAGGCACAAAGCAATGGCAAAGTTCGCTCTACGGTGCCCAAAGCTTTGGCCATTGGAGCGACTGCGGGAGCTTTGAGAGCGAAGTCGGAGCGAAGTCGGGCTTTCTCACTTGCCGCGCATCCGCTTGCGTCTCTCTTTCCTTCCGACAGGACCTGAAGGGCACCAAGTGGAGTGCCTGAAAACATGCTCACGTACCTTGGTGAGTTTAAGTGGCAAAACAGAAGGAGACCAACCATTTTAGAGGCAAAAGCATACTTGCAGTTATAGTGGGACAAGGCAATATGCGAGGTAAATTCAAGTTGATTGCAGGGTTCCCGCTTACTCCTAACTGGCAGAACTCGGGTCAAAATTGGCAACTGGAAACGGTTTCCTCATGGCTTCCCATTAAAACCCAACCAAAGGCTGTTCCTGGCACAAGCCCCCCCCCCCCCCCCGAAACATCGGGCACTCGCTGAGCTTGGGACGCTTGCCGCCTTTGGATCCCTGCCGGGTTGGCTTTGCCCACTCTCTGCCATACCAAAAGTAACTCCGAAGCTTGGACATGTCCTATCACAGTGAGACATGTATACCTCATGCAAACCCACATGTCAAACAAAGGGATTCGCCTGAACTGCAAACATCTTTCACAGTGAGCTACATCACCAAAGAGCAACATGCACAGAACTCTGGTCCTTCTCACGCTTGTTCTTCTTCTTTGGGCCAGGATTCTTGGTCGTGAGCTTCTTCCTTGGTGCGCAGCGAATGCACTCAAGTCCATCCCAAGTCAAGTACGAACCTTGACTTTCAGTAGGAGAAGTGGCATGTGTGCCATGGCTCAAAGACCGAAGGGCCCCTTTTGACATGTGGCCGGCGGAAGCGCCAACCGGCCGCTCTTGTTCCGTGTTGTTGTATCTTTGCACATGCTAGTGACTCAGGCAAGTCCCGGAACTGCCTTGTTGGCATCGTGAGACTCTGCTAAATGGTTCTCTTTGAGCCAGTGTCATCTAATTTGGGTCCTTGCCATCGTCTCAATAGGGATAGGGGTTGAAATACAGGGTAAACTATTTGGCCCGCTTCAGCCTCCAAGCCCCGAGCCCGGGCAATGCTGGGACTTCCAATCCGAGCGTCGTCACGTTCTTATCCAAGGCCACCTGTCTGCGATGCTCTTCCCGCTGTGCAGAGCCCCGTCGCCTGCAAGCGACTCGACTTGTGTCTTTCCACGATGGGTGGCGTTTGGTTTTCATTTGGAACTGCCAATTCACAAAGAAACCACCCTTCAAAAAATTAAAAAAAGAACAAAAACAACTTGGAACCAATTAGCAAAGAGTACGACACCACTTGGAGCCCGAACTCCCCTCTGGGGCCTGCAAGGCGTCTGGTTGAAGACCCGTTTCAAGCGTTGAACTTTGCGACCATACGTCGAATTGCAACACATTCTCATCAGTCTGACTGCAAACCACGAGGATCGCATGGAAATCCTTGTTCCTCGCCACTTGAAATGTCTGCCAACTCTTGGGCATTCCTTTCATTTGCAACAAGCCGTTAGAGGAAACTCGAGTCAAGTGCTGTGTCAAACTCTCGGACCCGCTCCACATGGTTCACGACTGTTCGATGCTAGCCATCCAAAAGGTAGCTCCTTTTAATGTTGATTCATTTCCGGGCACCTGTCCAACGGGCAACCAGTACGTTTCGTGCCGGACAGGGTGCTACGCCAAAAGGATCCCCTTTGCTCTATTGGACATTGGGAAAAGCACACTTTTCCTCTGAAGAACTTCAGCGATTCAAACGCAAAGAAAGGTCAACACGCTGGCAACGATTGCCGCATAGCGAGTCTAGTGACACTTGTGGACCAGCCAATTCGGGTATGTCTTACAGGGAACACCGGGACGACCTCCAATTGATTGGCTTCATGTTTTCTCGCTGGAACCTTCCAACAAAGGGCTCCCTATTTTCAGACAAACCCATTCCAATTCCAGGCGCCTGTCGACCTTCGCCTGTGGATCCTCCTGGCAATGGACCGACTGAAGGCAATCCCTAGATTCCAGCACCTGCCTAGCACCACCAGAAACCAGGTCTTCGGTGGGACGGGCCTTTTTTCTTCTCAGAAAACACCCTCCATAGCTTCTACCAAGGGCCTTCTACAGACAACAGAAGGAAGCTTCTTTATCATCCCATGGCACCATCAAAGACCAAAAAGAACAGATCCAAGAGCGTGATCTGCGTCGTGACAAGGCGATGGAGCTTGAGAGATGAAAAGGAACTGACTCAGTCGCCTTCAGTTGACCTGGATATAAAAGGTCAACCTTTTGGCTTGCCATGACTTAAAATGGTTGCCAAAGGGAAAACAAAACAAAAAAGAACGGCGAAAAGGTCGACTCCCTTCCGGCAAGTGAGCCTGAAACCAGTGGAACTCGACTTTGAACCAACCTGACGAGGCCTTTTAAAGGGGGCACCTGCCAATCGCCAGACGCGGGCGCTGGCGCGCAAAGAACGCAGAAGCCGCAGCCTCGAGCCCGGTGAGGTCTCGCAGGCGGCCAGCCTCACCTGCGCGTTCTAGATACCAGATGGGCTGGTTTCAACTATAGTCATGGGCCAAAAGCCAAATTGTACCCCCAGTCCACTAAAAATAGACTAAAGTGGGTGGTGAGCCTACCCCAAAATGGTAGAGGATGTTCTTGGCTTCCTTAGATGACGGTCCGATTTACTTGTTCCCTGAAGAGGACATGGGAGATGTGGCACGCCCCCTGGTCTTTGTGGGAGATATTCGTGAGTTGCCCATGCCCGCCCCCCTTGAATCTTGCTGTTGATGGAAGCAACAAATGTAACAGAGAAACCATCCCGCGCCAAAATCCAACTCAACCCAACCAACCAACCAGCCCAACCCAACCAACCCAACTCAACTAGCCCAGCCCAGCAAACAACCAACCAACCAACCAACCAACCAACCAAGCAAGCAAGCAAGCAACCAAGCAAGCAACCAACCAAGCAAGCAAGCAAGCAAGCAACCAAGCAAGCAAGCAACCAAGCAAGCAAGCAAGCAAGCAAGCAACCAAGCAACCAAGCAACCAAGCAAGCAACCAAGCAAGCAAGCAAGCAATCAACCAACTAAGCAAGCAAGCAAGCAAGCAAGCAAGCAAGCAAGCAAGCAAGCAAGCAAGCAAGCAAGCAAGCAAGCAAGCAAGCAAGCAACCAAGCAACCAAGCAAGCAACCAACCAACCAACTAAGCAAGCAAGCAAGCAAGCAAGCAAGCAAGCAACCAAGCAAGCAACCAACCAACCAAGCAAGCAAGCAAGCAAGCAAGCAAGCAAGCAACCAAGCAAGCAACCGAACAAGCGAGCAAGCGAGCAAGCAAGCAAGCAAGCAAGCAAGAAGCGACAGGCTTCAATTCACTTGGGTGCCCAGTTGAAGCCAAGTTGCTTCTTGTGTCTGTGCGGCTAATTCGTGATGTGCTGGCCCGGATTTGACAAAGTGACGGCTGTCTCAACGTGAGTCGCACCTCAAAGGGGCCGCCTCAACATAAACAAGGCTTGCCCTGCAGCTTTTTGAACTTGCTCTCTGCCAGAACACCTTTTACCCACCACAACGAAATCTCCAACAAAACAAAGACCTTTGAGAAATGTTGGGGTTCTCTACGGCTTCCCGGGATGTGGTTGTGAGGTGTGAAGGTCGGCTTCCCTCGCCCGCGCCTCCCAGCATGGAGAGTGCGTTGCCGCTCTTGCCAATCAGGGCCAGAGGCAAATGACTCAGCGCAGGAAAACCCCTGACATGAAGCACATCTCACGCGCCCACCGAATTCCTGCGATTCGCCGCGCCCCCTTGTGAATCTAGGTGTCCCAAGCAGCATTTTTGGATCTCAAAATCCAGGACCTCCAACCCAATGTCATGGTTCAAGTTGCCAGTCTTGTTCAAAATCCCACGAATCCGTCCCCCCGATCCGGGCAACCCCAACCCGCCGGCGCCATCAGAGACGCCCCCGAAGGTGGTGGTCACCTCGCAGTCACCGAAGGGGTCGTCATCCTCGAACAATTTCTCGACGTCAGATTCGCGTCACGTGGGATGTGCAGGCTTCGAATTCGGCGGGGTTAGGTCCATCCACAGAATGGGGGGTCCAAGTCTCAATTTTATTTTGTCAAATTGGGTAAGCCTCAAAATGAGCATCGGTTCCCTTACCCACCCCCGCAAAAGGGTAATCTTGAGGGGCCAGTCAGCTGAGCGGCTTTTGAAGCTGCGTGGATTTGATTTGGTGCTGCGTTGCCTTCCCTTCACCTCACCTTGCAACCAGCCGAAGCTGTTCTCCTCAGCCTGGAACGCCACCGTGACAGGCTCCTCACACGGCCCAAAGCAACACATCCCATGTGAGCCGTGAGCCCACGGCTCATCACGAATGCCTCCAAAATGGGGAAAATGGGGGCAGCGGGCGAGGGGGGGAAGGGGGGGGTTGGGTCTTTCGGTAGGGATGACAGTTGTTTCCGAGGCGCGCGCCTCGTCCTGCAGCTTGTCGACCTTGAGGTCGCCAAGCCACCCCACCTGAAAAAAGAGCCGCGCAAACTGTGAACTTATAGCTCGGCGTTTGGACCTTTTCCGTGGTGCATACACAACAGGGGCCCCGATGTTGACAACCCAAGTGTCAAGCGGCTTCCTTCAAACTTGTCACTTGATCACGGCCAAAAGAGCAGTCACCAGTCCATAGTTTGGAAGCGCCCTGCTTTCCTTTCTTGGAACAACTTGCAGGAGTCCCAAGCTACAGTTAGTTTGAGTGAACATGGTTGCCAATGCCAACATATAAAAAAGGCGAA